AATAAATTCATATTGGATGATTAGAGAGCCTTATCCTCATGTGAGCATAATTTTGGAAAACAGTCGGAGAAATAAGGAATGAAAGAAACTTTTACCTTTTTCTTGTAATGTATTGGCAGTTGCGGTGGCTCGCCTTATCTGTCAGACAGTCGCAGTGGTGTATATCCTTGGAATATTTTTCTCTAAATCACTGTAAGTCTTTTTTACTGGAGCATTCAGTTATATAGAAGGAGGTTTCTTTTTGATTTTGAAGCGGAAGCGGAAATACTAACTGCGATGACACTAAGAACGGGTTAATATTTATGCTTTTCGGTAGACTATTTTATTGCATAGTGTGAAATTAGTATTGGTGGTCTAAGAGTGCTAGCAAATTTATTTTAATTTTAAGTGTAATATTTCGTGTGCAGAAAATCTCAGAGTAGGTACCTAATGTTTTAGTTGAGTTTCAGAAAGACCTAAAGTTTTTTTAGACTGATGTAGCAATAAAGTTCGATGAAGTGTTGGTGTGCACCAGCATTGCTTCGCAAAATCTGTTCCCAGCAGGTTTATTCTACATTTCTTTTTTGGCTTAGAGATCGTCTTTACTGTTTGTTTACCACTTTGAATGTTATCCAGAGCACTCTTGAGCTCAGGGTGAAGTGGCAGCTTTAATTTTCAGTTTCACTTGGAAATTGGGCTGAATATGTTGCAGGTTAAGTTCCACAAGTTTATTCTACTGTTAGTATAATATCCCTTGTCTGCGAATTACTTATATTTTTTCCATGAGAATGACTTTTCGTTCAGTTTTTCTGAAACATTTTATTATTACTTTGTTTCTGGTGTTATTCTAAAACAAAGTTTACTTCATCGTTCTTTAGCCGTGGAAATGCGTTAAATTTCATTCAATTTTATTTCGACAGTCCAATGGTTGTGCAAATTTCTTTTGCAGTTTTTTGTCTTTTAGCTTTGTTTTGTTTATATTTAACGTTTTGAGGGATGAACTGGCCGTGATGGTGAAATAGCAATGCCTAGATTTTGAGAACTGCTTTTATCAACAATTTTTCCCATTTATTATTTCCTTTTGAAATTAATTAATTTGTTGTTGCGGATGATTTGGCTTTATTTTTTTTCAGTTTTTCGTCTTCTTGAATCAACTCTTCCGTCTTAATTTCTAAAAAAATTTTCTAGCTTTTTCAGATGGCTAAAAAGCAGTATGATTTGTTATTTAAGCTACTCTTAATTGGCGACAGTGGCGTTGGAAAAACTTGTATTTTGTACAGATTCAGTGACGATGCATTTAATACAACTTTTATTTCGACTATAGGTATATTACTTTTGAAAGCTATTAGTCTTCTATTAATACTGATACTTCTGCTCGAGCTTCCTTTTTTCTTGTTTATTTTTCTTGTTGTAGCATTGTATATTGTATCTTTTCTATCGTATACAGTTGAGAAGAGGAGTAAAACTGGTTTAGAACTTAATTTTACTTTATCGGAAAATAGTGATTTCTGTTAAATTCTAGGAATGACGGAAGTACGAGTTTTTCCTTTTTTTATTATTTTTTTTTTTCAGTTTTGGATTATGAGTGTAGATGGGTATGCTTGGCTTTTACACTGAATACAGCTCCTCCATTTAGTGTATATTTTCAGGTATCGATTTCAAAATTAAAACGATCGAATTGGAGGGAAAGAAAATAAAACTGCAAATATGGTTGGTTTTTATGTGTTTTTATGTAATTTGTGTCACCTTTGAAGGAAATGAGTAACTTCATTTGGAGGCTTTCACTGCTTTAACTATTTCGATATTTACTGAAGTGGCTAGCAAAAACTCATAAATTAATTACTATCGTTCTTAACATCTATTATTTGCCTTGAATTATTTCTGTTTGGGTTTCTCATCGCTTGAAAATTTTTTAAATCAGATATTTTTTTTTTTTTTGAACGTATCCTTTTTTTTTCAATGTAGGTCTTATGACATCTTCGTTAGGTATGGGTGGAAATTTTTGAAAATTTTGAGCCATTTCAGAATTATCACAGCATCGGATCTGTAAATTTGTGAAGCTTAATCATACCGTCTGACATAATCCATCTTTTTAAGTACGTTAGTTCTTTTTTTGAGAAACATTTGAATTTTCTATCATTTTCAACTTTTATAGATAGTTATAGGATAGGTTCAATATCATTAAGCCAAAAATAAAGTCTTTGATTCTGCACTGCGGATGGAAATCTTCAAAAGGTCTGGTAGTCAAAGTTTCTTATAATTTGGTGTTCGATTAGCTCAAATTTTGCTTCACTGCTGCAGAATAAACAGTTTACCCAAATAAATGAGAGTGCCCAAATTGTTCTGTTTTCAGGAATTCTTTTAGCGCAGGAAATTAAGTATTTTTGTAGGGATTTGTTTTGTACAATATACTCAAAAATTTTTAAATTTTAAGAAGGTGGACAATTAAGCCTCATATAAAGTAACCGATGCATAGTGGTTTTGTTCTACCGGGCTTTATGGCTCTTTGGTTCTTCATGATAGAAGTAATCAGTTTTCGCTTTTGCTATTTATGATAGGTAAGATTCATGGCAGAGACCGCTCTAGCAGGAAAAAAGTGGTAATATGTGCAGTAATTCTTTTATGATTTTCCTAACAACATTTTTTGGCAATCATATTCGGGTCTGCTGCTACTTTAAGTGATAAATCGAAATTCTTCTTACGAACAGTTATTGACAACGAAATGCTGTTCACGGAAGCAAAAGTTAATTGATTGAAAGATATCGGAACTTGTGGGGATTCAGTAGCAGGCAAAATCTAGTTTCCTGCCGAATATTATCAATTTGGGTATTGCCTTGTCAGTTTTGGAAAGAGTTCCCTGCTTTATCGCACATTTTACCCTTCGTAGCACTGGTTGTTAAATGTTGAAAATCAGAAATTTTTATTTCATGGCAAAAGTTTTGAGGTTCTATTTTGCTTAGCTTTCGTTTTTATCGTTTTGTCAGGTCGGGAAATGTGGGAAGTTATTCCTGTTGAAACGGGTTTCTTATTTTGGTGTACGCAGAGTGGAAGTTAATAGTAACTGTAATGAAAAAAAATATCAGGTCCGAAGATAAAATTAACGTTTTTAAACAGATAGTAAAGATGAAGTGCTGTGAAACTTCTCGATACTTATAGTGTACCGGAACATGGTTTGTAAATTAATTTTAATATTCTGGCACTATACCTTTTTTTAATATGGGATAGAAAAAAAATACTTTGTTTAGGGATACTGCTGGCCAAGAGCGTTTTCATACTATAACTACGTCTTACTATAGAGGAGCGATGGGCATAATGTTGGTATACGATATAACTAATGCAAAAAGTTTTGATAATATAGCAAAATGGTTAAGAAATATTGATGAGGTATCCTTATTGTTTTTTCCTACCGTATAAACTGGCTTGAAGGATAAGAGGTTTTCTTGTTTTTAAGATATTCTCTTCATTCCTGACATCACTATCCATTTTATTTATTGTCTTATTATTAAAGCTAGGAATTTGTTGCGCAGTAAAGCTCGAGTAAGCGTCAGACTTTTTATTCATATTGGTTCACAACACTTGGTCAATATGTTCTTTAATGTTTATTTGTCCGGACTTTCTGTCATATTTAGCATGCATCAGAAGATGTAGAGAAGATGTTGTTGGGTAATAAATGTGATATGGTGGACCGTCGGGTTGTTTCAAAGGAACGTGGCGAAAAAATTGCAGTTGATCATGGAATCAGGTTTTTAGAGACCTCAGCTAAAGCAGATATTAATATTGATACTGCTTTTTACGACCTTGCTAGGGCTATCCTTGAAAAGGTTAGTTTTAAGTATCATGTGCTTTTTTTGCTAGCTTGAAACAGTTGGTTAACGGGGAAGGATAAAATTTCCTGATTATTTTTGTAAAATACTACACAGTTTTTAGTGTTTATATTTTTTTCAGATGCCCTCTCGAGAAGAAGGTGCAAAACTGCCCGTAATTCGGCCTGTAGAAACGGCTACGAACGTAGGCACCGGTGGTTGCTGTTAGGGTGTACTTGTTAATTTGGTATTGGAAAATTGAAGTTACAGTTACGTTTGGCGTTTTAATCCTTCTCTTCTTAATTCTCTTAATGTGTACATTACTGGTTGTGTTAGCGCTTGAAATACTTTTGAGATATGGTACAGCCATACCAGATAAAGTTTTTGCTTTATAGCTTGAGTAGGTGCTTTTTTTCTTGATCTTCATATCTTCGTTACAGACTTTCCAAAATCTTTCAAAAATTTTGAATAACTATTTGTTACCAACGCAAACACACATCTGATAGATTTACAACTAGTTTTCAACTAACGGTGGCCCTAAAACTGAAATTTCGCTTCTGGTGGGATTGAAGGATTTTTTGACCCCAGGTTTTGATTAATTAAAGAATATCTAAAATTATTGCAAGTTTTAAGCATTTTTATGAATATTGTTTTACGGCTGTTCGACTTGCCATAAAATGTGCTTGGTTACCGGTCGTTACCAGGTTAGGTTTTCAATGTTTTGATAATTTCTTTTTCATTGTTTGTTATGTTCCGAGTTTTATTTTGTTTATCATGAGTTGTTTACTCGAAACTGTAATTTTTCAGACGTTTCATGCAGTTTGTGTTTTTGGAAGAAGGACTCTTTGAATTAAGATGCTGTAAAAAAGTTTAGTAGCGTCCTTTGCTGGTCCTTACTTTTTTTCTCCAAAAACGAAATTATTTTAAACTGGTTATTATGACTAAGTGGAATTTATTCGAGGAGTTGCTAGTCACTCAACTTTTATTCTGCTTTTGTTTGTAAGATTTTTAAAATCTTGAGCGCATTTTTGTTTTAATGTGGATAAACTGTTTGTTTCCAGGCTTCCTGAACACAGTTTTGTTGGGTTAAGAAGTCGATTATTTATAATAATCAATAGCAGTGAGGGATAGTACTGTCGTTTGCAACAAAGTGGCTTTTTGCATGCACTTCTTCACAAATGCATCCTTCTCAGTTTCACTTGGTCTTCACGTTACGACGTAAAATCTGTGACAAATTTTGAAAAACCATTTAAGTGAACCAGCGTTTGCCGTGGATGGGTGTCCAGACGACCAATTCAAGCCTTCCAGTGGCAGAATCTTTCCATTATTTGTTTAAGGGGTCAGGGACTACCTATTCAAGCGTGAGGTTGGAGAGAAGTGGGGGAGTGTTTACCGGTAGTTTCTGAGGGTTTCTGGTCTTCGGAGGAGGTGACCAAGGTCTAGCGGCTAGGTAACTTTGTTAGTTGAGTACAGTGAGTGAAGTGAGGCTCAGAAGAGGGTAGAAGTACATTTGCTTAGCAGTATGTTTACTGAGTAATTTGCTAAATGCATGTTTTTATTGATGCAGATGCAGCATTTTTTTTGGTCGCATTGCCTCCGTGTATTATCTTGTAGAAGATACGGAGAAAGAAAAATTCTGGATGAAAACGAAGATAAAGGTCCGGGAAAAAAGTGACTGGCTATTTAGAAGATTTATCCATAACTACAAGCGTTGACACTCGATAAGATAGTCGACTCAAGGTGCGCAGTTCCAAGCATTCAAAGCTTGCCGGTTTTTCATCTCATGTCATTTAGATTCTACTTTCTTTCTGAGTACGGGCAACTTCAAGTGATGTCTGAGACATTCGTTCAAAAATAAACTCAAAGCTCACTACTTTCTTTTCTGAGACAGCTGCATTACTCCCTTACTATTTTTGGGCAATTCAAACTGTTTACGGAACATTGAATTGGTTGGAAAACGACAGAAAAAACATAAAAATCCATTATAGTCTATCAGGTTAGAAATAATGTTTTCAGTGATATTAACCCTTTTATCTGTCATTGATTGTTGCATGAATTGTATAAGGTCGTGTTTTTGACCACTTTTTATATGGTTTTTTTGTTACGGTGCTTTATTACCAGACATCCAGGTGCCTTTTATGTTATATTTGAATTTACCCCGTGTATCCGTCGGTCCTAACAACTAAATGCGTAAGATTATTCACGAACAACGCTATTAGCTCTCCAGCAGCATGTCGACAGGTAAGTGAAAGCATGTATAGTGGTCAAGGTCATTTTAGCAGCTCTGGCAAAAATCCTCCAGTTCAACCCGCAAAATTTGAGAAAAGAAATGGTTCTACATAGCCTTCAGAAGAAACTCTGCAATTGTAATTCTGGTAAAACTGATTATTCAAACCTCATGAGTAAGTTTTTATTGAGTAGGTGAGTGGCGAGAGAGCTAGAATTGCGAATGTAGTGAAGTTTTTGGCTTTTAAAACATAAATTTCTTTTTATTTTCCGAAGATGTTATTCAAAAACTGACTTCCACACGATGCAATGTCAAGAAAGTTGATAAGATCATAACAAGAGCACCTAACTATGTACCTGGTATATTGCTTTTGAGCAATTGTACCGCTCCAAAATTGTCCGTTAGAAAGCGGTGATGAAACGACTAATATTAACAATACGACTGCTGGAATAGTTTCTTCTCTATGATCTTTTTGACCTCTGCAGAAATATAAAGAGGATTTTTGAAATTTCTCTGGTCGTAAAAATTTTGAAGTTTTTTGATAAAGGAAGGCAGCTTCCTCTCCAAACAACTTGTACTTCGCAGTTTAAAACAAAAGCTGGAAGCGACATTGACAAATTGGTATATTGGAAGTGACCTGGTACAACAAACCCACCGATACGTCTTTTGCTTCCCCTAATAAAGTATTTATTTTTGAACTCATGTAGGCTGCTTCTTCTTGTTCTTTTTTTGGAACTGTGTTTACAGTCGGGTTCCTTAAGTGTGGCCTTTTAATTATTAGTTTGAAAAACTTTCTTCTGCTGTCAGTCTTAACGTTTTCTTTAAGTCGATTGGAGGGACCTAGCTCAATTGCTGCTAGAAATATCTTGACGGAGTTACGGTAGGCTGTTTCCGGACTACCTAAAGAAGTAAACGCACATGTAGGGACGACATATCAGCGGAGTTATCATGAGCAAGTTACACACTTTACTTGCGATATTGTATAGAAACCTTGAATTTCAAGGCTATGAAACTATAATAAAACTCATTTTCATCCGTCACTTGTAATAAAAAACATAAGCATGGTCCTTCAAGTTTTGACTAAATTTTTGTACGTGCA